CATAGGTTTTTGTGGGTTTTTCAGGCTGTGAGGCTGTGTTCTAGAAGAATGTATTCCTGACGTTTTGCCTGCATTTGTAGCTGGCATCTTTCTTCAAAGATGAACTGAAATGAATGTCTTCCCAATCTGTACTATCCAGATTCAACAACTATAGCTATTTCCAGCATCCAGAGGCCAGTGTTGTGTGCTTGTCTGTTAAAGAGCTGTTAAAGTGGAGATGCCTCATAGAAGAAAGAGGTAGCAACCCTAATTCAGCATTAACATGATTCTAGGATTCAAAATCCAAACATTACAGAATTAGACTCAAAGCCCAAAGTTTGGATGAACAAATTTGTCAGTTTTGGTTGCGCCCACATTTCATTTAGTTAACTTCAAAATCTTTCTCTCCAGAAAGAGAAGCCCAGAAAGGCCTCTCCTAAGTGAGGCTACTGCCACACTGCAGAATTAATGCAATTTAACTCTTTTAATTGTCATGGCTCCATTCTGTGGAATCCTGGGTTTTGTAGTTTGTTGTGGCATCAGAGAAGGCTAAATATTTCACAAAGCTACAAATCCACGAATTCGATAGCATTGAGCTGTGGCAGTTAAAATGGTTTCAAACGGTATTAATTTTTCAGTATGGCAGGAGCCTGAAAACAAACATGGAATTATAGGTCTAGAGTTTGCTGCAACTAAAGAATGATCTAATTTTATAGCACTATTAAGAACAAATTGTTGTTATTGGTCAGAACCCTGTATAAGAGGTATGTGTCCCCATAGCTGGAACTTATGTGTGCTGGGATTAGAATTGTGAAAATACACAATGTCTGCATCCAGTAGAGGGCTGCTTTACATAACTACCTGTTAGAATGAGTAAAGACAGCAATGCACTTTTGCCTGAGCCTGCTGAAAGATTCCTCTTCTCTCCTCCCTGCTGAACTAACTGCATGCAAACTGCTTTTGCACTTTCAAGCCAGTTTACACCAACTGAAGTCAGCTGGGTAAAAAAAAAAAGGGGGGGAGTGGTAAGAGAAGAGAGAAAGCAGGACATTTTAAAAGCAGATTAAAAAATGGGACATTACCAGAGATTGACCCTGCCAAACCAGGAAAGATATAGGGTAAGCTATAGTATAGAATGCTTTGCACTTTCACAGACATCATGGTGTAGTCGTTTGAGCATTGGACTACGAATCTGGAGATCAGGATTGAATTTCCTACTTGAGCATAAAAACCCACTGGGTGACCTTACTTACAGTCACATTCGCTCAGCCTCAAAGGATGGCTGAAGAAACATGCCAAGAAAACCGTATGATACTTTGCTTTAGGGTCACTATAAGTAAAAAATTACTTGGAGGCACACATCAACAACAACAAGCTTTGTGCTATAGTGCTATGGTGCTCTAGAAAAATAAGTTTATAGCAAGAGTGGGCAAGGAGCAGCCCCGGAGCCATAACAAACCCTCTCCCTCAGTTGCTTTTGTGGCCCTTGATCACTCTAGACTCAAATCCTCACATTGACCTTTTTTTCTACTAAAAATAGTCCAGGAACTGCAATGTATCCCTTAAATATTTTGCAAGGCCTCCTGTACTGTTTAACCTTGAAAAAAATATGTGTGGCTACATATAGTTTTTTGTATTTCTTGACATTTTTGGCAGTCTAGGTTATCCTGAAAGGATCCCAGGGGCAGAAAAATGGCCCTGGATCTACTACAATTGCCCACCATGGGAGACTACCATTTTTATAAACAATATTTCACTGAATTTTCCTTACAGGAAATTATATTATTGCAGGGGTAGGCAACCTTTCCCCTTTAAAGGCCGAGGGACTTCAGCTCCCAGAAGCCTCAGCCATGTTGGCCAATAGTCCCATGTTGGCCAATAGCTCCTGGGATTCTGGGAGCTGAAGTTCCTCGGCCCTTAAAGGGAAAAGGTTGCCTGCCCCTGTATTATTGGCTTCTGGGAGGATACTGTCTCCCATAGAAAGTGTGCATGTCATGAAGAGCTTGGACCTTTGCTGTCATTTTGAGAATTTATTGGTGTTCTGCAATTCCTAAACACTGTAAAGGCATCTGATTCCATCTGATCTTGGAAGCTAAACATGATCTGCTATGATTACTACTTGGATGGGAGACCACCAATGAACACAGGTGCTGTAGGCTACATTTCAAAGGGAGAAATTGGCAAAACCACTTCTGAGTATTCCTTGCCTAAGAAACCCCTATTGAATTCATGGGGTCACCATAAGTTGACAGGCAATGAAGGCACACACACACACACACACACACACACACACAGAGTAGCCAATTCAAGCTGCAGCATAGGTGATATATGAGCTAAAATGTTGGGTTGCTATAAATATGCACTCTCATTGTCAGTCAGTAGCATTCATTCCCACAAGAGTTTTTCCCCTAACATTCCAGCTGCTTGTATGTCTACCATTTTTATAAACAGTATTTCACTGAATCAGCTGTCATGGCCCCATGAGAATTCCTCACAGTGCTTCCTCTTACCACAATATCTGGAAAAATCACAGACCAATAAGGAAAGAGTTTGCTCATCTGTGTAACCACTGCTTGCAGAAAAATTACATTACTAGCTTCACAAACTCTATATTATTCTGTGCATTTGAGAAGCCAAAGCCCCTGTTGGGTTCGGTAGTGAAACTTCTGGAACATTATAACTTGAAGGGATTTGAGCTGAACTGTCAGAACAATTAACCATTTACCTCTGGATTTTGTCCCCAGATGTGATGTAGCAAAACTAGAATTTCAAGCTGTGTGAATGAAGGTGATTAATATTCACTCTCATCATCATCATCATTATTAGGAAGTGGAATAATTTTTCCGACTTCTCTTTTCCCAAGCCATACACCAGAGGCTCAAACTATGCATTACACAGTAATTTCCCATGTGTCTTTCAAATAATATTAAAACCTTAAGCAGCCCAGAGGAGGAAGGTGTTTGTGTTGAAGAATGGGTATGTGATAAGGCTGGCATTAGCATTTGGCCTCCTTGGGTAGCTACCAGGGGCCCCCCATATACTGGCACACTGTTTATGCCTACATTGCTTCCCCATCTTAATATTTATTTCTCCCTTGCCAGTGATTTGGCACCCTAAGCATCACCAACATACCCTTGAACACTGCACAGATCAAAACTGGGAGATGTGTGGCCAAGCAACATCGGAGTGTGGTCAAGTTATTAATGAGGAAGAACAGACAAGCTAGGAGGGGCTGCAGCAATTTGTCTTTTCCTGAGAGGAAGGAACTGTCAAAACCACCTCTGAGTATTTCTTTGCCTAAGAAAACCATAAGAAATTCATAGGGTTTCCATAAGTAAACAGGCAACTTGACAGCACATAAATACACACACACACAAAAGCAAGACTACCTCTCCTCTCCTCTCTGGTGAGTAAATTAATTACTTTTGCTCTTTGGACTCAATTTGTTGCAACTGAAGAAAGCTGAAAACAAAAGATGAAAGTGAGAGGAGGAAAGAAAAAATGAGGAGACTTTAAAATCAGCTGAAAAATGGGTGGACAAAGGATTAATTGGGACTGTCTCTGCTAAAGCAGGACAGTTGGATATCATGCATCTGTCCATCCATCCGTCCATCATTCCTTGTTGTTGTGTGCCTTCAAGTTGTTTCCAACTTATTGTGACCCTAAAGCACACCTATCATGAGGTTTTCTTGGCAAGATTTGTTCAGAGGAGGTTAGCCAATACTTTCCCTGAGGCTGAGAGCACATGACTTGCCCAAGGTCACCCAATGGATTTCATGACTGCCAACCCTGGTCTCCAGATTCATAGTCCAACACTCAGACCACTATACCATGCTGTCTCTCTTCCTTCCACCCACCACTTTAATACCCCCCAGTACCTTGCAGTTCAGTTCAACTAGTTCAGCTAGCGTGGTATGCACCATCTAGGAATTTAAGATCTATAGGCAAAGGATTATTGTCTGTTCCAGCAACATGCACAGCTCTTTTAAGGCTGTGAGTAGTTCAAGATCTAGCACTCCATGTGTAAAACAGTCTTTCTTTGGACTTCACCTGTTTTCATATGGGGTTGAACACCTTCCTCTTTGATTCACCAGATTAAGGTGCTGAATTGTGCCTGAAGTTGCTGGAATAAGTAATGGCTGGTGGGATGATGGGTATACACACACACACATAGATAGATAGATAGACTTATGTTTTATTGTCTTTGTCTCTGATTGTTTATGTTTCATATTCCACCCTTTGGTGGAATGGGCATTATACATCATCATCATCATCATCATCAGTATTTTAACATGCTATATCCCATATTGAGCCTAGTATAGAGATGGGAAAGAAATTAAAAATATTATTTTATCATCTTCATCATCATTATCATCATCATCATCATTCCTTGTTGCCTCCAACTTTAATAATAATAATAATAATAATAATAATAATAATAATAATAATAATAGTTTTTATTTATATTTTCCTGCCTCTCCCTGCAGATCGAGGCGGGATTACAACAAAATTATAAAACAATGTACAAAAATACAATATATAAAAACCATAACAATAATGAAAGCCAACAATCCATATAATAATATACATTATTATAATACTCCCAGAGTAGTATAATATACATCTAATTAAATATTTAATCATCATCTTCTTCATCGTCAGGAGGCCAAATCAGATGGTACTATTAGCCTTAGATTACATTAGGGAGATCAGGTGGATAGATAAATAGGTAACTTTAGGTAAATGGTTCACAGTAGTCAGGGGTAGGGGATAGATTTTCTTAACAACAATATATTGATGTTAGCTGTTATTCCTGGTAGCGCCTGTTTTGCTCCCACCCATTTCCCCACATCAGATAGCTTCAGTACCTTGGACAATTCCTTTGCTGCTCAGATTAAACCCCAGAGTGGATTCATGATTCCACTGACATGGGAGTCACCAGTGCCCTCTGGCTGGGAGCTTGTTTACTTACAACATTAAGTATTTGGGAGTAACTACAATAGACAAAACCTGGCAGCTTTGCCTTCATGGTACAGTGGTTTGAGTATTGGACTATGACTCTGGAGACCAGGGTTCTATTTCCAGTCCAGCCATGAAACCCACTGGGTGACCTTTGGCAAATCATATGATCTCAGGCTCAAGGGAGACTACTACTGTACTAACAGAGCAAAACTACTATACTAACAGAGCAAAATATCCAAAGTTCTTATTATTCCTAGGCAGACTTTACCTTTAGGGAGTTCTTTTTCCAGCCCATTTACTTTCAACTCAGTATAACAGAAAAGTCTGGCAGGATAGAAACATCATACTGAAATTTAACAGCATGTAACGTATTATCTCCAAGTCTTTCCATCACTAGTTCTTGACATTCTGAAAACTTAAAGATTCCATAAAACCTGCTAACAACTAGGCCAATAAATAAAGCAATGTCACTTTAACATTCTCTCCTGGTCATATATTATTTTTGCCTACCAAACCTCCATTCCAGATGGGAGAAGCAATGCGTACATTCCATCCAACAAACCATGGTTTATAGGAAAAAACAGGGAAGAAGGCAATAATTCCAGAAATGAAGCTTAGAATCCCAAAGGAAATAAGTATTCTTCCAGTGACTAGGAACAGATTCATTCTCAGCTTCTCCATGCCCCTTTGTGCTCGACTTGTTGCACTAACGTTTTACAATGAGAGCTTGGGCTGATGCATACCAAAGTGTCTTAGAAACTGTAGTCAAGAGGCTTTTCTTGTTTGCCTACTCAGATGAGACATGCTTTGATTTAGCTTAGAGATTTCCCCACTGGAATGCAAGGCAGTGAAAAGAATCAGCAAGACTTCCTGGTATACAGGAGAAGAACCACAATTCATTCCCAAGACTTGCACAAACGTTCTGTGCCTGTGGGAGGGAATCCCCATTGGGATCCCTGTCTTCCTCCACTGGCCTTCAGTCAGGGTCATGTTGCTGCCATCAAAACCCAAGCCCTTCTTAACTCTTCTAAGAGCTATTCAGTGGCTTCCTCTGCTCTTGACCAGCCCACCATTTAGCTAAGTGAGGTAGCTTCTCACATTGCAAATGCTGGGAAGCCCCAAAGCTATCTCCCTCCCTGCCCTTTCTGATCCTCCTCAGCTCTCTGACTTTTTCCACTCTTGGAGGACAGAGGTGTATGCCAACACAGACTATTTCTACATCCCATAAATTAGTGGTTCCCAACGTTGTCTGTGCCTCACACCCCTAGGAAATGTTTGATTAATGTTTGCACCCTCTACAAAAGTAATATCATATTTGAAGATTAAGAAGTTGAATTTCACTGTGTAATTGGTCAATTTCACTGTCAATAAACACACACCTTGCTAGTGTGAATTAATGAATCAATAGGGCTATCAGAATATGGAGAAATGCACAAATGAGTTTACTTCTCTCTTGACTTGGGTAGCGAAAGACTGGAGTGTGCACGGGACAAAATCACCTCCTGTCTTCTCTGTGGTCCTCAGTCCTTCACATTATATATGGGGAAGTCAGAGGCAATGAGGGAGGCATTTGATTGACTGGACAAAGCAGGGATAAGCATGGGATTGACCAAGTGAATTCAAGTGGAGGGAGGCACTATGCGTGTGAACAGAGATGGGCAAGAGAGGCCCCAAGAGGTGAAATACTCAACAACTTCTCACAATCGTGAATTTTTGAGTCAAATAATATACAATGATTATGTCAGATGCTGTATTATAATGATTTTAAAAGCAATACTCTGACAATCAGTTACTTACTTTACTTGTATGTTAATTCTATTAATCTCTCCTTAAACTAACAATGAGACTACTATCTACGCAACGCAACCACCTACTACCACTTCTCATGGCACACTGGTAGTTGGCTGAGTGATGACTTTCACATAGAGTTCTAGCATCCAGCACATCACAAATCTGGAGAAAACTAGAGTACTGTGATTCCGCTTTAACTGCCATGGCACCATCCTGTGGAATCCTGGGATATATTACAGATTAAGGCAGAGTATTTTGAATTCTCAGCCAAAAAGAACTGGTGCCTCATAAACACACCAACCCCGAGAGTCCACAGGATGCAGCCCTAACAGTAAATAGTTAAAGTGGTCTCATTGTGCTAGAACTGTGTAGTGTAAAAAAGCCCCTAATGAAATGTAGGTGGTATCCACACTACACAATTACATCAGTTTCATGCCACCTTAGTCCTGGTTTCATCTATGGAATCCTGAGGCTTGTAGTCTTATAAGATACTTAGAATTCTCTACCAGAGGGCTCTCATACTATATAGCACAAGGGAGTGCACTAGAGGATTCTAAGTCCCTCACCAGACTACAAATCCCAGGGTTCCAAAGGATGGGATAATAACAGTTAAAGTGGAATTGAATTGCTATAATTGTGCAGTGTGGATGCACCTTTAGACAAACACAGAAAAATCAAAGAAGGCAAAGTGGACAAAAGCATCACATTGATGATACAAGCTCCTTCCGTAATATTGTATTTGCATAAGTGACATACCTATCTGAAGGTTGGTTGGGAACAATCGGAGCTTGAGGAAGTTACTTTTTTGAACTATAACTCACAGAATCCCAGCTGAAGAAAGTAAATTCCCTAAGCTCTCCTCTTTCCCCCATGTGCAGCTCATGATGGGCATAAATGAACAGTGTTGAAAATTTTCCTCATTTGCACTAATCCGCCCAGATTGGACTACCAATGGGCGATATAAAAATAAAATTTATTATTATTATTATTTATTAATCATTGGGGTGGTGGAGATGAAACAAGTTCTCAGATACCAGTCCAGCAGTAAGAGTACAGTACTCTCAGTTTGAATTCCAGTTTTGTATAGGATTAAAATAAATTCCAAATGTAATGGAAGAAATGCAATATAAATATGAAGAGAGATCAGGATGTTTTGACCATGTATTCAGTCAGTAGCTACAAATAATTAAGGCTATGAGTGTAAAGCACTGAACTTTAGACCGAATCCTCCTTAGCTCTAGTGATTTATTGTTTAAATAACTCTTTTGCCCATTTTCCCATGAGGGGTGACCACTTCCTGGTGTACACAGTGTTATTGACTCACTGGCTGAGTGAGTCACAGTCATTGTTTCCAATTATGCTCAGCAGACCTAAGATGAAAACCTAACGTCCTTTGTGTCCAAATAATCCAATCACACTAACATAAAAGAAAGAAAATGAAAGTATGGTTTCTGCTTGCAGTCAAACTCACCTGCCATTATTGGATCCAAAGGTTTGGTCAGAGGAGTCCCAGAAGAAATTTTGCTTGCTGGGATTTCAGGTTTGCTATCAGCTGTCTTGCTGGGCAAAGGAAGCTTTACACTTTCAGTCATCATAAAATTCCAGCTAGGATGATGAGAAAAAAACATAGAACAGGAGAGGCATCGTTTCTGCATTGCCAAAAGAGGGGACAAAAGGGTAGACAGATCTGTATGCAGTTTACATAAGCTGTTTTTCCAAAATGGCATTCCCATTAACTAGCAATGACTACAACATACCCTCCAAAATTATCAGTTTAACAAGGAGAGTTCCAATTAATTCTGTCATCTCACGTTTTCAGCTGCTTTAAAAATGTCCCAGTTTCTCTCTCTTCCTCCCACTTTCCCCCTTCATTCTCAGCTTACTTCAATTGTATACTTCAATTGTATACTTTAATTCAAAGTATGCCTGCAAGAAAAGACAAAAAATTTACTGGCAGACTCATAGCATGGTATCTTAACTCATGTACATTTGATGTTTTCTGCAACATTAAAATCATAGTGTAAGTGTTGCATATTATGTTGTTTTTCTGCTGCATTATTAGTGGGTTCTTCTCACCACAGGATATCAAAACATGGACTGTTTCATCTGTTTCAATGAAACTGATGATACAAACATCCTGGACTTAATTAAATGGCATTTAGTGGGCTCTAGCAATTATCTACAACATGCACACATATGCAATCTGTCAACTTTTCAAAATTAATTATAAATGCCCCTCTCTTTGGTTAGCAAGTCAGTAAAAAGTGACCTCCCCCCATGCAAAAACAATAACTTTGGGTGGCTCCATTAGAGAGCAGTTCTGCTGCAAAAGACAACACATGCTCAAATAGGCATGCCAGATGCTCAGAGTGCATGACCCCTTTAAAGATGCAGAAAGATCATGTACAGATTGGAAATGTAATTTTATGCCTCTACTGTTGTGGTGGTTGCAGGAGGGGTGAAGGGGAAAGGGAAAAGCCATTAGTTTAATATGACTTAGCACTTCCCAACTAATTCAATGTGTACTTTTGCATCATGGAACCCCAGAGCTCTAATCTCTGCTTTGGCAGTGCAGATTCAGTCGCCACTTTAATGCTTTCCTTGTGACTAGGCTGGTTAACCTTTGATATTTCCTTTCTAAGTTTCCGTAAACAGAGAGGACTAAGCCCTGACAGAGGAAGACCTCCGCAGAGGGAGCTGAGAAGAATATAGTCCATGCTTTGCTCTCTGAACCACACTTTGACACATTTAATCTGCAGAGGTTGAACCAAACTGGCACATTCATTGATAAAGCGACAGCACCCTGCTGCTTGCGGGGTTTTAAAATGAGAGCACTTGGGAGAATGACTATTTGAATTACAACTCCTAGAATCTTCACATGATGGGGGATTCTGGATGTTGTAATTCAAAGGAAGAGAAATGTAAGCACTTTCCTGTTTGGGATGCTGTAGTACACTGGGAATCACTGCTGGGATATCCTGCAGATAACTATTGAAGCTGGGCTAAAGCCTCTGGGACCTTCTTCAAACACTATTAATAAGGGGAAAGGAAACTGCAACAATTTGGTCCTGCAACTGGATGGCACAATGCAATGGCATCACTAGCTTTGGTGTCACCCCCCCCACACACACACACACACACTGACCTCCTCCCATTCCACACCATACAGCAT